TCTACTAATTATTGAATAATTACATTTGACCATAATTTGTATTTCCAGCACCACGTTTTAACTTCAATATTTGCTTATAGTAATATTTATGTCGTTGATCTTTTAATCACATTTTTATCCTTAATTTGTCATCAATTAGTACATCTTGGTCCCAATAATAATTTTGTCCTAAAATAAATCGTTAATAGAACATAAAAGATTCTCCTCATAATTATAAAAATGCAAAATAAAAAATACAAAGAAGTGCTAGACCATGCACCAATGTATGATGAGATTTTGTTGATGAAGGAATCATAAGAATCATAAGTGTTAACTTTCAATTTTTCAGCCGCTAGTGAAATTCCCAAGTAGCGAGAATGGTATGGAGCCCTAAGGAATGTTCTTAAGAGCAAGAATGTCCTCCAACTCTTGTCCATGAGCATTTGCGGTATACAACCTAGATTTGTCAACATTCATCTTAAGTATTTACGTATCACCAAAGCTTGATAAACAGTTCATCAATATACCAACCGAAATAACATCCCCTCCAACAAAGAGTATCAAGTCAGCTCCAAAAATACCGATCAATCACCAAATATAAAAATAAAGCTCCCGTTTAATTTCTATTTTCAAAAGAATTAAAATAAAAAATATAGTCATTACGGGACTCACACAAGAGATAGAAAATTAAATATGGTGGCTTGATGTGATGAATAACGATTATATTTTTCATTTTTGTGACCAAAGAATGGGAATCAAACGGGGGCAAAATAAAGGGGAAAAAAATCATATTTAAGGTGTATTGTTTACACCAATTCAAAAGTGATGTAAATAGTTTAAAAGTTCAAAATTCAGGTATATATATAATTAATTAAAAATATTTATAAATTAAATATAATAAAGTTACAGTTATAAAATTAATAGTCACAGATACACAAGTAAAGGTCACAATTTATTTATTGGTCACATATTATCGAACTAATTAGTCACAAATTACTTCAAAGTCACAAATCAAAAATTGTATAGGTCATAGTTTATTTCGAGGTCACAAATCGAAAATTGTATAGGTCACAGATTATTTCATCGGTCACAAATCAAAAAAATTATAGATCACAGTTCATTTGTCGATCACAATTAATTGGTCACATATTATTTTTAATTGGTCACAAATTAATTTTCCATCACATGTTATTAAATTTTTAGATCACAATTGAGTAATTAATCACATATGAACAAATAATTGGCCACATATCATCTCCACCAACATTACCGTCAATTGCGACCACCCTCTCCCTGCAACCATCGCTGCTACCACCACCACTACTACCACACCACCGCCAGATTCACCATCCCTGCCAACATCTCTACCTGCACAACTAACAAAAACCACATAAAACCCCCCAAACAATACCAAAACGATCCCTAAACCACTATCAAATTCAATAAAACACAATCAAACCGCCACTACCACCACCATCCCCCCAAAACACCATCCAAATCCACCTCAATTATCAAATCCACCGCCACGAAAACCGCCGCCATACAAACACCATCAAAACCAATGCCAACTGTCAAATCCACCACCACAAACACCTTCAACCACACACTACCACCACCACAAGGAACATCAACTCCACCACCACACCACGATGTAGCCATTGTTGAAAACCACAGAAATCCCAAACCACTACCACAAGCAGCATCAATACCACCATCACACCTTGACGTCGCCCCGGCTGAAAATCGTAGCAGCCCTAAACCACCATTATTACCACCATAAGCAACGTTAAAACCACCACACGCCCTCATTCTCGCCACTGCTAAAAACCACATCAGCACGAAAAATCACTCATTGATCTAAAGATCTTCGAGCACGTAATAACACCTCCGACGTTTAGATCTATAGGTTTCAGATCGTCAATGTACCGTGTACCACCACCAAAAATCATATCAGCTAAAATAGGGTGTAATAAACAGCATCTGTGTAGCAAGCACGAGCGTCACCTTTAGCAAATCTGCAGTGGTGGTGTCTCGCCGACAAAGCTCCAATAGCATCTGTAATCGGAACCTCTGCGCATTTACAGCTTTGCGGTGGTGTTTGCACAAGATTTGCATTCGAAATAGCTCGTTGGAGCTTAGCTTATGGTGGTTTGTCTAGCGCCGAAGCTATACATAGCAGCGAATCGTCGGGAGAGTGCGGGGAGAAGAGAGAGGAGAGAGTTAAGATAGAGAGAGATTTAGGTTTTTAAAATGAGGCCGAGGTTGATTAATAATGATATTATTATTAATATCAAAATGTATAATTATTACCGGATTTATGATTAATTAAACTTTAAACTTGATTTTTAAAAAGGGTAATGCTATTCGTAGTCGCTCATTGCGATAATCGTCCTACGTGGCATACACATAATATGTGATTATTTGATACATTAATATGGTAGTTTTTTATTCATTAATGCATCAAATAACCACCTGCCATATGTATGCCACGTAGAGCGACTGTCACAGTGAGCCACTGCAAATAACATTATTTTTTCAAAAAGTATTCTTTTAATACCGGTTACGGTGTAATTTTCCCCAAAATAAACAACACAAAATATGGGCCATTAACAAGAGTGGGCTCGATCCGGTCCATGCCCTACGGCCCATTACAGTCCGACGTTCCATCTGACTTTGGATGGGTCATATATCCCAGTTTCTTCAACTTTGTCGTTGAATTTCTGCATATTTATTTCGACTTTGATCTTCACTGTTATAATTGTTTGATTGGAAATGGCAAAGGAGGGTTCTAATTGTGAAGGCTTATTTAAATGGAGTCTCTCTCACTCTAATAGCACCGGTTCTTCCTGTAATCTGAGGTATTTTACAAATTTACAATATTTTGGTTTCATATCTATACGCTAAAAAAAGTGTTTTGGTCGGTTGTGAAACAAAAGTATTTTTCGAACGAAGACCTTTTATTTATTATTTATCTCTTTTGGGATTTCGAATTATTGTTTGAATTGAACCAAGTTAATGTGTTGTCATTTTTATTTTTGTGGGTTTAGTGAGGAGAATAGGAAATGGTTCATGGATGCAATGCAATATGAGATTGTAGATGTTGTAAAACGAATGAAAGAGGTAATTCTGGTTATGCAGACACCAGAGCAGGTTTTGGAGTCTCAGGGCGTAACTCTTCAAGATATTGAAGGTATTTATAAATGAAAATTGATGATTCCGTGTTTATTTTTATGAATCAAATGTCAGTTGTTCGAAGATCGGGTTTTTACTGATTCTTGTGAGTGCAGATATGTTGGATGAGCAATAAGAGTATGTGGAGTCCATTGATATGGCTAATGGTGAGTTTATTTTGTGCAGTCTGTTTCTCGGATATTTTTTGTGATTTGTATGGAGGAATAAAGATTATTTAGGATTTTATTAGTTCTCTCTAGAATTTTAGGGAGTAAGTATACCACCACAAAGATATGGTTTCAATTGAATATTCTGTTCACTTTTCCCTTTTCATTTTATTCTGGGGTAATTTATAGACAGGATTTTCTGGGCGAAGAGAGAAAATGGAGCTATCAGGATTAATGCACTCAGCTTTACTACCTTTCCTTTAAAAGATTAAAATCTATGGTTGGTCGGCTGATATATATACCTATAGCTGAGTAATGAGCTGCACTTCTGTCGGAGATGGCTATGAGTAATTTTCATTAGTTACATATCGGTCGACGACTTGTACTTGAAGCTCTTGACAACACTTATCTTGGATCTAGGACATGGATTCTAGGAGACAGCTTGATATTCTTGCAAATAAAGACCAGCGTAGATCTTGGATCCATGTGAATGGATGTTGTTGAGTGGCAGAGATAGCAAGATTTATGTGCAATGTATTGTGAAGAATTTTCTGCGTCAATGGCTTCATTAATTTGCACACTACGAAAAGGACCTGTAAATTTTCCTTTGAATGGAGTGGTGCACTAGAGCAACCTTTGAAACTCAAAATAAAATTTGAGGTAACAGCAGCATATTTGTATAGAGGGTGCTTTGTAGATAGTATTTTCTATGAATGGCTCTCACACTTTTGAACCCATCTGTAATTTCAGCATTGCACTGTTTGGGGGCTGCAAAGAGAAAAGACAGCTTGTGGACTCTCTTTGGAGTGCCTGTTATAATGAACCATCAGCCCTTTGTGAGGAGATTCTTGCCCTCCCAGGAGATGATGCACTTCCACCGGAGGTTGCCAGCAAGCATTTTGAACCACCACTTACAGCTTGGGCTGCTAACCGGATCGAGATACAAAACCATAGTTATGAGAAGATGGAAAACCAATATTAATATGTTTTGGACCCCCAGCTAACAATGTTTCCTAATGCTGTAATTGGAGTGGTAGGTGAATTGAGAAATCCGTTTGCTCAGTTTCGCTTTTCTTTTTTGTCTTAAATGTATTTTATAAATCTACTACATTTGTCTTACAAACAAAATCACAAATGGAAGTCTTTTCTTAATCCTGCAAAAGCAAATTATGTTCCTTATTTTCGTGAATGGTATGGGAATCATTAGATTTTCTTTTAAAATGAATTTTCTGATGTAAAGTAGCGCGTTTTGTTACTGCAATAAATTGGTTCCTCTCTTAGTTTTAACATGTTTTGCTTTTTGTAATTTACAATAATTTACCTGGTGACGAAACTATTCTATTTTTTTAGCAACAGACTGAGTTGTAATATGCTTCTTGTTTGGTTATCCTATTCCTACTCACACATGCTTGATAAATGGGTAGCCCGTTTTATGTATGATAAAATTTTCTGTGTTCCGATGGGAGGCAAGTCCAATTCACGATCAGATAACATGCTATGGAAAGGGTGATCATGCCGATCAACTGCTGTATATCAGGTTAGTATCTTAGTATTTGGATACGTAGCCTAAATGTTTTGAGCACATATGACTTTCTTTTGGTTTCACTTCAAATTGTTATTGCTCGAGTTTCTTCATGTTTTTCCCAGTTTCAAACCATATTCTTTGTAGTTGAGAGCGTCAAGTGTTGTTAATCAACTATTCAGTTCTCTTACAAAAGTAAAACACATGCTACAATGTAAGAAAGCTTCAGCTGATTGAACATTTTTCAACACATTTAACCACTGATATTCAATCTTCTACTACATCAGCCTTGAAGTTATTTATTTCTTCTTGTGATCCTCATTTTGGAGGGCAGAAAGTGATAACGTACCTCGAAGCTCTGCATTTATTAAGGCTTGAAGAATCATCAAATGCGTAACTATAAGCCTTTGGACAAATAGCCTTGAACAGATTTGCAAACAGTGTTGGTTTGCAGGTTTTAGGATTTGAGTACTCTCCCGTGCAACAGTACTTGGCCGATTGCATGGCCAAGCACGCACTCTTGCACCCGATCACCTTGTCTCCTGCCTTAACCTCCAATGCCGATGGACAACATATGTTCAGGTCAACTTCACACGAAGCCACACCACACCCAATTCCTCCCCCAACAGGCTTCATTGATACTGGCAAATTGAAGCCGTCGACTAAACTAACATCGTAAAAATGTAGTGGGGAAGTTGATGTCCCTAGTGTCATTTCCACCACTGTTGCAGGTGGCACGCCGCCTAATCCCTGGCAGTGTAGTTGTCCATTACAGTCTCCGGTGGCACACGAGCCTTTTCCATATGCATTGAAGTTGCAATCTTGCCTTCCCCACACTCTTCCCGACCATTTCTCTGGCACATCGATAACTACTTCCTGGCCACTAGTCAGTAGAAATCCACCATCTTTCAGGGTTTGTATGCCTGCGCCGCCTTGTATTCCTGGCCATACCCTCTCCTTACAGTTGTTCACCAATATGAGTTGATGACCAATCCCACCTGCAAATTGAAAACATGAAGATAAAAGAGTTAAAACAATTCTATCTTTCGATTAAGCAAGAAAATGCATACAAGAAAACTTTCAACTTCTTTTTTCCATGGTCTTTAGACAGAAAGGCAGAAAAAAACTATACTTGTTCTAGTGAGAAATAGGAATATGCAGACAATGATGGAGAAAAGAAGTGTGGATATGAACATTTTCAAGGTATTCGGAGGAGTCGAGGAGACGATTTGCAAGGCACAGGTTTCCTATGTTCTGCACTTGTGCTGCAGGATTTAAAGAACCAACCTTTTGTGGAGGAGAAATTCTAGTAAATCATCGAGGGAACAATTTATGTTTATTTAATTTCTCCTTTTTTCACTTTTTCTCTTTTTAGACAAATGGGTATATATGCATTGCTTCTGATTTGGGATTAGCACTGTAATTACAATATATTATCTGAATCTTTAGTCTTTTACAAAGACTAATCTACCTCTTTATCTCCAGCACCTTCAGTTCTAATCAGATTAATACTAGGGAGAATTCATTAATTAGCCCCTGTTTGATCCCCATTACGTAGAAAAATTAATGGGGGGAATAGTATTTTTTTGAAAAATGAGTGGTTGAAAAAGAATGAAAAGTTTTCGATTTATGTGTAATATTATTTTATAAAAGATTGTGTGGTTGAAAGTAGGAGAGAGAAAAATGAAATATAATAGAATTTAATGTAATGCGGTTCAAACAGGGGCTTAGGCACTTCAAATTTGTATAACAATGGAAAAAGTGGCTGAGTCAGGATTCAAAATCAGTGAGATCATGAGTTAATTAAACGTGATGATATAATAATGTTAAAGATTTTATAGAATGAATTACATTTTTTCTGATCGAATTAAAAGCACGAACTGAACCGTCCTATAAAGTTCGGTTAATAACACAAATGGTCATTGAAATTTGCATAAAAAAAAAAAAAAAAAAAAAAAAAAAAAAAAAAAAAAAAAAAAAAAAAAAAAAAAAAAAAAAAAAAAAAAAAAAAGAGCTTACGAGGTAAGTGAACTTTACTTGTACAGTTGTACCAATATAAATCTTTCATATTCATATATAGTAATTAAAAATTTACCTGAATTTGCGAAGTATGGATGGAAATTGGGATAAGTGATAGAGGAAAAATGAATAAATACTTGAGTTTGTGGAATTTATTTGTTAATTTTTCACCACCATTTTACATTTGTCTGCTCGTTCTCTTACTTCATTTTTTAATTATAAATTCTTATTCTCCAAAAAAGGAAGAAAATCCAAATTTCAGTGGAGGTCTGGAAACCGACTGTCCCCACTTCCATTTGGCCCCCATTATTTGAAATTTTAATGATTGGAAAAGTATTTTTAAAAAAAATATGTGGTTAAAAAAAAGGAAAATTTTGGAATTACGTATAATATTATTTTATTGAAGAATGTATGATTGATAACAAAAAAGAAAAAAATGAATTATAATTTTAATGGGGGGCAGACAGGTACGAACCTTAGTCACACCCTATGCTCGCTTGGAATCATAATATGTTATTTATGACTTAAAATCATATTACAATTATTGTCTCACCTTTGTTTTCTTCTTTTATTATTGCTTCTTCTTCTATTAGACACATGCTCCGTTTGGTGGTAATTTTTTATTCGAAAAAATTGATTTTTTGATCGTTATTTTATTATACAAATCGTCATTTATGATTTCTTCATTCACAAGCGAGATCCACCTTTTTCTCTAACAGTCAAAAAATCAATTCTCATAATCACTTCCGAACTTGCTTGACAATATGCAATTTATTTGCAACAAGACTTCTTTATTATTCAACTCGAAAAGATTGGACTTAACAAGAGGCAAGTTGAACATAACTTGTGCTGTAAGATACTATAACAGTAACAATCTTGTTGATCATGCAAAGGGAAATCTATGGAATATTGAGGATTTTTATCCTCCCAGCTTTAGATGACTTGTAGTACAAGCTTCTCTTCTCATAGTGAAAGCAAAAGTGACATAAAAATTATTCTCACGAGTTTGCATGTCTTTGAAAGAGTAAACCTTACGAGTTATTGTAAGTATTAGGTACTGGATCCAATCGATTTAGGTTGTAAACGCTTTTAATATGTTTAATGCATTTGATTTTGGTGAGATCTATCATTTATTTAAATTAATTTTGTGATAAATAATATTAAATAATAGAATCCGAAAATCCAATTTTAAGTGATCTGTTAATCACAAGAAATTGTGATTGTAAGATACAAATTACATATAATTGGATCTTGAATAAACCATGGTCGTAAGTAATAATGAGATACGGATATCGTTAATACAATTAGACCATCACGTGTGACATTTCTTACTTGTGAAGTAAGTAGCTGATCTCACGAGTTAAAGTGTGGTGACATTTAAATGAACACGTGGATATTTTGTTATAGAACAAAACATTGGAAACCCGCTAAGAGATTCCACATGGATAACTATCTGAGTGTCAGTGGTTAATCTCTAACGTTCGGTAATGAAATTGGTCCTACAACTTGAGGTCATCATAGTACCTTATATGAGGACAGTCATATTTTGACGTTGTTGGATGTTGCTCTGCCAAGGGCCGCTAATATGACATCGTTCGGGTATGTCAAGAACCATATGAAGGTTGTGAATGATCAATAGAAAATTCGTCACTCTTAGATAGTAAGAGATTGTGATCTGCATTTCATTCACTTAAGTCAATAATGAAATCCTTGGCCAAAGTGTACATATAAGTCGAAAAGAGTTTTCGACTCATATTGACTTAATAGAAGAATGAAAGATATGATCGATAATCGAGATTGACACACTTCCATATCTCGTAGTTGATCGGATCATATTGACGAAAAGATTATAATTTCATGGTAAACGAACAGTTTTGGTTTTCTCATACCACGTGACATTTTCCGTCACATATGTTGCCCTGATACATTACCAGATGTCAATCTGGGACGACGAGTGCGAATCTGTGATAAATTAAAAGAGTGTTTAATTTATCAGTTTTGATTAGATCAAAATAATATTTTACGTCGTTAGGCATCGTGGTCGGGAACCTAATGGGTCGCACACAAAAGAGAATTGATAGGTTGCAAATTCTCAATTGATTAATTTAACAATCGTTGGATAAATTAATTAATTGGATTTGTTATTTATATTCCCGAATTAATTAATTGGATTGATTAATTCACGGACCGGGTTTAATTAAATGGATTAATTAAACAATGGACCGGATCGGACCGAGCCCGTTTGGATTTATATAAATACATTACTAGAGTTTGAGATCCATGAGGTTTTCATTATTCTTGCTGGCACAAGAGGAAAACCCTAGCAGTTGCAGTCTATTCTCTGTGTGGATTTCATTGGAGGCTGGACAATTGGACAGCTGTGGGAGGTAGATTCAAGCTGCTGGAAAAAAATAACGCGAAGGAGTTTGCAAATTAATAGAAAATGTATATTTCTTATCACAATTTTTATCTAAATACAAAATCGAATCCTGAATGGGAATTGAAATTTGTTAAATTCCGCTGTGCATGTTTAAGTAAATTCCCAACAGTTATAACAAAGTATTGCAAGTTGTCGTGAAGGCAAAGCAATTGTGTCGATTTTATAAAATGGATTTTTATAGTCTCTATCTCGTTCATGAACAAGATAGGGGGAAAATAAAAATCATAATATTTCAATATTATTAAGCCCCTGTTTGATGACCATCATTTTGAGGGGGGGGGGGGATAATGTTTTGAATAATGATTTTTTTAAAGAATGTATAGTTAAAAAGTAGGAAAATATTTTGTGTTTACATGCAAAATATTTTATTGTGTGAACGTGTAATTGAAAATTAGTATAATTAACGAGTTTTATTTTAAAGGGAGACAAATAGGGGTTAAGTCTTTAGGACTCTTAAAGAAAAGTTGTGTTCAAATATTAAAACGGGGCATGTAATTTAATTCGATACAAGTGAAGGAGTTTATCATTCGCAAATCCTTCTTTATATATTCATGTCACGTTGAAAACAAAACAAGAAAGAGAGTAGGTTCAACACATGGAGAAGGATTTGCAATGGCAAAGATTATTTACCTTCTTGTTTTTAGCAGTATGTTAAGAGTCCTTCAAAATAAAAAAAGACAAGGGTGTAATTAGGAATGGACAAAAAAGACCCATGAACCAGACCCAACAAGACAATCCAACCCGATTTGAGTCAGTTTGGGTCGAGCTCACGACAAGGAGGTACATTTTTCTACCTAATTGGAAACAAATGTCCGAGCTCAAGTTTAAACAAAGACAGTCCTAACTATAGGTGAGGTAGGTGATCGTCTAAAGTTCCACTTCGGTAAGAGTACCAAAAAAATTATTAATTTTTCATTTTACATATATTTTCACACACACACACACACACACACACACACAAACATATATGGTCCCATATTTGAAATTGGTCTAAGACCTCCAAAATTTCAGGGCCGGCCTTGAGTTTAAAGAATTAAAATGGAGCGTGGATCCTGGTTTTGCATTCTCATTAGAAGATATAGATTCAAGTTTGTTGGAAATCTGAATTACATAAATTAGGCAAGGAAAGGATGGCGGAGTGCAAAAGGAAAATTTTCAATTCATCTTCAATTTTTAGGTTTTATATTTAGGAAGCGTTCGAGGTTTTGATGAAAGACAAAAAGTCGAATTCCAATGATGATCTAATCAACAATAAATTTGACACCGACGACAATCTAAAAAATATATTCATTTATGACAAAAATTTTAATTAGTATCAAAATATTTTTTTTGAGAAAATTACTTAAAATGTCCACTTTCAGATATTCATTTCCAAAAATGTCCACTTTCACAAATCCTTGCAAAAATGTCTATTTTGGAATATTTTGGATCAAAATACCCATGTGAACAATTTATGATTTCACACAAAGACAAGAAATGAACATTTTTGCAAAAATTTTAGTGGCCAATAAATTTTTGAAATATAATCTGTCATATTTATTTCAAAAATGCGCATGTCAAATCATAATTAATGTTACTTTTCTCATTGATACAGAAACATAATAAATTACATTTCAAATGTAGAAAAATATTATGTTCAAAATGAAATGTCATTCTAGATATTTAAAATATCGAGAACAATGTTTGAAATGTCGAGAACATTAATATTGTAATTTGACATGTGTACTTTTAAAATATAAATGGGATACAAATGTCGAGAATTACATTTGAAATGTCGATAACATCATTTTAATGTAACTTCTCATGGAAGCTACATCTCGAAATCTGCAACAAATTGAAAAAATAAATAAATTGCTCCTTTTTTTCGTTAAGCGCATAATAGACAGTTTAGTGCTAAATTTAAAAAGTCGACATTTTTAAATTGACACACAAGAAA